ACATGATATTGCCCCTTTAACAAAAATGCTGCAATAACTATGTGCTGCCACTAGGAGGCCACAATATCTGAATCAACTACTTATCAAAAAATTAGTTTCCTCCTCATTATTACCCTTTTCAACAGATGATCCAAGTTTAATAATGACAGGATTCAAGATAAAATGAGAAACTAAGAAAACTTCTCCCTCTCTCTTTGGTAAGCTAACAACAACCTGTTAAACATGYGCAGTAGCAGTTTCRTGTTTCACTTCTGTGTCTTACAWCTGYTGAAAAATAAAAACGAACAATGTGGAGCGAAAGGAGGAAATGAGTGCAGCAGCTCRAGAGGAAAACGTGGATAAAAGARGAAAAGTTTGTCAGTATTTCAGATATTTTAACAAGAGGAAGATGTTGTCTGCAAACTATTCAAGATCTACGCAAGTCTGGCAATATGACAAATTTATTTTATCACCTCAGCTGTTCTCACCTGTTGGAGAACTGCAGCATCGTTTTTTTTAATAGAGAAAACTTCATGGACAGGAAGCTAAACATCTTCACCTTCAGAATAAAAGTCCAGTTATAATAAAAAATAACGACCACTGTGCTACTCATTTAGCAAAGGACATGTCAGTATGTTTATTTGGGTTTTTCATAATTATGTTGACCTCTTTTAAGGTTATATTCAAAATAAAAGTATTTTAAAAATCTGTCTTTTATTTGTTCGAAATAAGGAGCAGGAGGAAAAAAAACTCAATAATTATTGATATAGACTGATAGGAAATATTTATATCGTCATGAGCCAGGCATACTCAAATTTTGATTTTTTTAGGCCAAAACCATCCAGGAGTTCATAAGATATTTTGCTAACACTGTAGACAAACACACAAACATGTAGCAGTTCCTTACAGATAAAAGCTTGCATCAACCCTACCAGGAACACAAGCTTTTATTTCTTCAGCCAGCAGCAGAAGTGAAGATCATGCAAGTCATGATGACGTTAAATATAAGACCAGAGGGACGTCGCCCAGTCCATCACAGGACCACCAAGACAAACAACCATTCACACACTCCCTGAAGAAGTACAMGGGGCTACTTAACAAATAAAAATGAGAACAAACAGATTTTCCACTGAGAAATGTCTGCAGCTCAGTAACAGGCTGAGCTCTGCCAGCTGCCACKTAAACAGGTGACATTTTTCAAGTCCAGCTTGTTTTACGAGGCCTGTAATTTCCAAGCGGGGGACAAACATAAAGACTTGATAGTTTAATTGTTATGATTATCAAGCTGTAATTCACCGTGTGTGTAGTTGCAATAAAATGATCTAAACAATACGCCCAATAGTAAATCAGTTTTATTCTCACCCAAATACGTAGCTACACTACTGCTATTTATTGTTAGCTGCAGACAAAAGGCTAACAATGATGTGTTTGCTGGGGTGTGTGTTTGTTGATGTAAGGGGGGCACTATAGGACAAAAACTAACCAAAAACCAGGAGGCAGAAAACTAAACCAACATTAAAGGTGTTGTGTTTAACATCATGTTATCTGCTTCTTTGTCTCAACAGGAAGTTTAATGTCAGCATGGAACAAGCTCACTCCCAGGCAGAGCTAGATTCAAACTAAGCATTATAATTCAGTATGTTGGAGGTGACATTTAGATAAAACAAGATTTATTCACATCATGTCTTTTGATTTAGTAAAGTATAAATATGAAACTGATCCAAACTGGTCTGTGTTTACAWTCATGTTCCAGGTTTAGCACATGACGGGAGTCCTTGAGGCTTATTTTGAGACTCTGCCTCACCTTTTCTTTACAAAGACAAACAGAAGCGATGAGATCCAACGCAAACTCACACAGGTTCTTTGAAAAACACGTCATATGTGACAGTGAGTGCTCGGCAAGCAGCTTTTCGGTGAAGACAACTGCAAACTCCCTTTGTTGTGTGAAGGTTATCTGCTCGTCTCAAAGCGTCTGAATCTGAAAACTGATCTCCTTCGATGGATTCAGGAGAAGTTTGGGCTTGTAAGCACCACACCGAAGCTTCCTGAAAACTGAAACATCTAGAAACTAAAGACAGAAGGAGCTTTCTGCAAAGACACGACCAGATTGAAAAAAAAGGTTTTACAATTTTACCATGTGTTAAAATTATCCATCCATCCATCCATCCATTTTCTTCCGCCTATCCGGGGTCGGGTCGCGGGGGCAGCAGCTTCAGAAGGGAGGCCCAGACCTCCCTCTCCCCAGCCACTTCTTCCAGCTCCTCCGGGGGAACTCCAAGGCGTTCCCAGGCCAGCCRAGAGACATAGTCCCTCCAGCGTGTCCTGGGTCTTCCTCGGGGCCTCCTCCCGGTGGGACATGCCCGGAATACCTCACCAGGGAGGCGTCCAGGAGGCATCCTTACCAGATGCCCGAGCCACCTCAACTGGCTCCTCTCGACGTGGAGGAGCAGCGGCTCTACTCTGAGTCCCTCCCGGATGACTGAGCTTCTCACCCTATCTCTAAGGGAGAGCCCAGCCACCCTGCGGAGGAAACCCATTTCGGCCGTTTGTGTCCGGGACCTCTTCTTTCGGTCATGACCCAAAGCTCATGACCATAGATGAGGGTAGGAACGTAGATCGACCGGTAAATCGAGAGCTTCGCTTTCTGACTCAGCTCTCTCTTCACCACGACGGACCGGTACAGCGCCCGCTTTACAGCAGACGCTGCGCCAATCCGCCTGTCGATCTCCCGCTCCCTTCTTMCCCCATTCGTGAACAAGATCCCCAGATACTTAAACTCCTCCACTTGAGRCAGGACGACCCCCCTGACCCGGAGAAGGCACTCTGCCCTTTTCTGGCTCAAGACCATGGCCTCGGATTTGGAGGCACTGAGCCTCATCCCGGCCGGCATTAAAATTAATCCTCTTTTAAAGAATAAACTCAAAGATAAATATAAGATTTGGTCATTTTATTAGTTAATCATGGCTCTAATGGGAACAATGTTACAAGTCTTTATATTTCATAGTAATAGTACAGTTCTAGTTGAAATATTGGATTAATATTTGGTTCTAACTCGTTTTGAAATAGCAAAAAGATCTGCGAAAACCTTCAGCTCGTTCTTTTCAACTGAGGCTAAATTCATGTTGAGACAGAGCTCCTCCACCCGCAGCTCTGCAGATAATGATGCTCTCTGAAGACGCGTTCAGCTAAAATATGAAGTGATTTAAATATTGTTTATGCATAAACATGAATTCTGTCTAATTTAGTCACAGCTGCCTTTCCACTGCAACTGATTTAAAAACAAGAAACAAAAAGTTCAAAAACATACCTGAGAGAGTAAAACCACACTTGTTAAGAAAAAAACTACAATAATTTAATGAAAAAGTCCTAACTTTTATATTTATTAAAACACTAAAATGCAAAACAAGATGGCCTTAGAGAACCCAAAAATTTAGTCTATTTTATTTTTGAGCTAAAATCTGATGTCTTAGAAGCTGAGAATGATTAGATATGCTTTATTTTGAACAAATGAAATAAAAAATACAAAACAAATTTTGCAACATAATCAGTTATTTTAGCTACYTTTTAAACAAAACAATGTTTAACATTTTTCCATTCCTCAAAATAAGATTATGCTGAATGCATTCCTTTGATTGAATGTATTTCTGCAAATAATCCGACTGAAGGAAATTTATTGTTTACTGATTGTTAATGCATCACACACTGTTTTATTTCTAGACTAACTAGAATTTATTTTGATTACCACTTATTTTGCCTAATCATCTATTTTTTATGATTAAACTGATTTAATCAAGGGTTTGAGTGACAGTTGACTCAAAAAGAATGTGCTCTTTGGTACGTTAGTTAATACACACCTCATTACACTGACCACACATCTTTCTCATCAGCTGACAGGAAGTGTGTGAGAATCTTCATCAAGTGTGTGTGTGATGTGATGATAAAGTGAGAATCTTCATCAAAAGATTCTTCAAAAGAAAACCTCCATCCATCAGCAGTTATTTATATGCTAAGCTATGCGCGTGACGTATGCAGTGGGAGGGATTACTATAATGTATCCCCCACGTCTTTCCCCAGTATAAACACTCAATGCGGTCGGTGACACACATTCTAGATGTCATTGCTGGGCCGCAGCTGCATGTCTTGCATGAAGTATAAACATAGCTTTAGGGAGACTTCCCCCCCATCAACATAATATTTAAGTGGGTGGGGCCAGATTCTGAAGATGGCATTTAAAACAAGATCGTATTTCCTGTTTTGGCACCACCTGAAAAAAAATTTAATTTGTATTTGGCCCAGCCCTGGTATTGTGTGGTCGTCATTCTTACATTCAACATTCAGGTCTATTTGGTGTTTGTCTGGTTGACCTTCCTTTTAGAGCCAGATACAGTACAATTATTTTGTTCTACATCACTTCTGTATGAGATAATAAGTTTCATCAGGTTCCTATATTAATAAAAAAATAACCATATTTGCACAGGGTCACCCTACAGTTTCTACTTCCCGGACTGCTTCAGTCTGGTAAAGCTCAGACTTGGCCAAACCTGTCTGCAGTGAGACAGGAGGATTTTAAAGCTCTCTATAACCCTGTCAATCAAACAGCTTTGCTTCAGTGTGTGTGTGTGTGTGTGTGTGTGTGTGTGTGTGTGTGTGTGTGTGTGTGTGTGTGTGTGTGTTTGTGTTCCCACGTGGGACAGAGTGCGAGCTCATGACTCACCTCCGGCGATGGTCTGAGATTGTGGGAAAAAGAAAGCCGGGGCGGCGGGTTAATCTGAGGAGGGCACAGTTCATCAGATTCCTGGATKGACGAGCGGCAGACGTGGCGGCGAGCAGGAGGAGCCTGAGAAGACCAACACACCAACTGAAACCACTCGTCCTCACTTAGCACCGAGCTCTTTCTGTTTCAGACACCATCGTTTCCATTTATTAAGCACGAGAACACACAGGCAGCCATGTTTCATTCCGCTGAGTCAGCTGTTATTGCAGGTATGCAGCAGGAGGGATTTGACAGTTTTGGCAGAAAACCTTGCGAGCAAACAAGCTGAAACTCATTCAGCTCCAACATATGTCACTCAGACTGCTTCACGAGGATGAAAAATAAAGTCCTTGTACTTACAGTATAAAGTCTAAATAAATATTAATTATTTTTGAGCAGATTTAATAAAAGTGATACCATGTCGATAATAAGTCAAAATTAAAGGTCCTTGAACAACTGAGATCTAAAAGAAAAAGTGTTTTCATCGAACTTTGAAAATAACATTCTGCAGGATCTCATTGTGACTTCAGGAGTATATGTTATAAACAACTCTCAGCTACTACCACTCTATATTTAACCACAATATCTGTAAAACTGACTTGTACAGATGTGTGTTGCTGAGGTTGATTAATTGCTGTGGACATCTTTAACTGGACCGAAAATCAAAACCACCACGTTGTTGTGCTTTCATTAAAAAGTATTCTAAAGATGTTTAAAACTTTGGTTRTTTTCAACGTTTTGATTTTTAACACTTTCAACCATCGAACAAAACAAGAAAGCTGGGTTATCAGCAAAATATCTCACTGGATATTTTTTAACGAATGTTTAACTGATTAAACGTTGGAATTAACACAGCTGCCTCAGCCAAATGACCTTCTATACGGACTCTGATCAATTTTTCAAACTTATGTTAGAGCTGTTTTTCATTTTTGTACTCGTAAGGCTCTATGTAGAGATTCCAAAACTTTTTTTTTTAATCGGACCCCCCATTAAGGATTTAGTGGTCTATAAACGCTGAAAATTAGACCCACATATTGCCGGGATCAGGCAGCACTTTTATCAAAGTCCCTACCTTCTAAACTACAAAATAAAAAATTTAATTACAAACATTGTACTAAAATTTGGTGTGGTAGCTGAAAGTCTTTTACAACACATAACCTG